CCCCAAAACCCCAAAACCCCAAAACCCCAAAACCCCTAATTCGTTCGGAACTCTTGAGAATTCTGGTGATTTTAAGCAGATTTACAATCTCGGCCAATTTTCTATCTCTATAGGTTCAATTTTCTCCTTCTTCTCAAGTAGGTTGATGTCTTCGAATATAGGCCCAGAGTAGAGCGACTCCATTGATCAATAATCGACATTATCAGCATAACCTTTAAAGTAGTCGTACACTGCAGCAATGTATTCTAGCCATCTCTCAATGTACTTGAAATAATAGTTCTCAGCTCTACTGGTGGCATCCTCGAAGCAGTCGTAGCATTTCTGACCAATATTCTTTGCCTCATTTATAGCAGAATAACAGCTCTCCTTCTCTCCAGATTTGTGATGGTTAAGACCTCTGGCCAGCCATTTAAGAGCGATGCACAGATTGTGAAGGATATTTGCATAATTATAAGCCAAGTCTATCTCTTTTGGCTTCTTATAATGCTCCCTAAATGATTTGAGGTTGGGTTTAACACTTTCCTCCATCATTAGTGCACAGTGGCTCATCATTTTAGAAGCAAGCTCATATGCCATTTTCTTCTCAAAGGGATACTCAACCTGGATCATATGAAAATGGACATCAAGGATACTTAGAAGGTATTTATTGTAGTCTTTAAACATCACACTGAGAGTTGAAGCATCTTTGATAGGGAATTCGAACACCTCAGGGATCCTAAGTGACAAAAATTTGATGATACTAACTGCTTCCTTAATGTGCCCGCATGACTCCTTGATTCTTTCCTTGGTCTCTTCAATATCATCATCTGTGGTTTTACAAATGATCCGTTCAGCGTAGATTTTGTGGAATATAGCCATGCTAAATAGGACCTAAAATGGTTAAAAGATTTCACCTACCATATAAATTTCGACTTTTATATGAGATCTTTCTTTGATTTTTATCTTGAGGTTTTCTTTACCCAGGCTTGTGAACATCTTTCCCCACTTGATCGTTCCCTTCTTCTTGTGAAGAACCCCTTCAACACTGCTAAGTCTATCAAGGTAGGTCTGTGCTGAGGTAAGACATAACTTTATATTAGTAAAATGCTCTTTAATGGCAAGCTGCATCTCATGCCTTCCTTCATTTAGGAACTCAGCCTCCTCTGTTTTCCCAAAAATCTTTGTGTAATCAAGCTCTTCCAAGATCATCGGGACTGGAGTGAGCATCATAAAGGCGTGAACGTCGTCGATAGGTGGGAATTCGACTTCATCACTAGATTCTGATTCCATGTTTCAAAATTTTATATTCAATAATTTCTGTTACAACTGGGGTTTTGGGGTTTTGGGGTTTTGGGGTTTTGGGGTTTTGGGGTTTTGGGG